AATAACCTCTCAAAGAATCGATATGAAATTGAATCCATTAAATAATACTATATAAGTCTTGACAATATAATAATAATATAAGTAGTGTATTATATTAATATTTATTTATACTTATCATAAAATAAGTTCTGAAAGACGGCAAAATGTTGTCCGGGTGGTATTGCCGTTCAATGGCAAATATGCAATCGGAATCCGGCAATGATTACGAACAAGATGCCGAGGATGATAGAGATTTAGGAGCAAACGATTCAGACGATGATAGCAGGGATGAACAAACACCTATCGATTATAAAGTTCTTTACCATAACCTGAAAAGAAAACTGAAGTACCTATTATATGTAATAACCATTTTTTATGAGTAGCATTTAAGGTTTGATTGTACAATTATTTAAATCTTCTTTATTTTACAGGAAAACGAATCGTTTCAAAGTGCATTGCAATCTTGCCAAAGACGCCATTTGAAAGTAGCTCGGGATAGAAGTTTTCTACTAGACAGATTATTACTGTATGAGAAGGTATACATTATTTCTTTACTGTATATTATTTAAGTTTATGTAAGAATCATCGGCTTTTATTTGTATCAAAGACACTTCATATTTTTAATTCCCACAAGGTTTAGTGATTTACATTATCAAAAAATATTACCGGCAAGGTATTTTTATTGTAACTTTGCTTAATAAATCATAAAAATCTCATCTAGTGCAAAGATTTTTTTTTCCAAGTATTCAGATTCAAATGTAGGATTTAGACTTTACTTTGTGCCAAAATTGTATTGCCACTGATATCATTATTAGTTTTAAATATCAATAGGATATGGATTAACATATATAAAATCAGAAGCATATTAGTATACATTTTTGTTAATGATGTAAAACAATCATTTGTCATTTTTTTTTAGGTCGATCCCAGTTCTTCAGAGAGTGAAGAAACTGAAACATCTGATGAAGAACCTCAGCGATCAGAAACTATTAAAAGGTATCTTGTCTGCTAACATTTATAATAATTACATTACTAAAATTATTATTGTTAATATTATTTCTGCAGAAAACGTGATAGTTTTCAATCGAGTAACCATGGATCTGCACAGAACGTAAACATTGGTAAACCACAGCCTCCTCCTGCTAAGAAAAAAAGAACTATACCTGTTAAACAAAATCGGCAGGCCAATGTGGCATCCGCACAAGTTAGAACACAGGTATGTGAATATTTTTCTTCACAAATAACAATAATCACATTATCTGTTTTATATTTCTAATAAGTTATATTTTCTTTATTACTATAGCAACCTGAATCAACACCTCCAAGGGTGACCTTACCAAGTATGTCAACAATAACAAACAGCGGAGTAACTCTGTCTGATGGTCGGTTAACAGCAGAGGAAGTTGAAAGGCATTTGCAATCACGCCAAAGTGGTGGCTATCGTGAACTATTATCTGAAAGAGCTCCACCTACAGTTCCTACTGAAATGTTCAGCAATGATCCTTCTCTTGACAGGTAATTTCAGTTCTTTAGATAAATAATTAACATATTTTATCAAAATCAGATGAGAGAATTTAATAATATTTATCAAAACAGGCAATGAAAAAATATTGTCTTGAAATCATTTAATACAATATTTTAATATTGTATTAATTTTTCATATATTAG